GACTTGGCTTCAATCTTCTCTCCACGGCTCAGCTCCTGGCACACAAAATCCGCACTCAAGGCAACTGTGATACAATGGATCAGGAGTGATGGCACAGCTTATCGAATACTTACCTCGGTCGTGCCGCCACTCAACATGGCGTATCCGTGCTTCAGTTCGCGGCACAAGGAACTTCTGGAGATTCTGAACGCGTCCTTGCACTTGGTCCCTGGGATCACCCAGAAGAAACAGATTATCAGCACGTGGATATTGATTTTCGAGCAACTACTGTACCAACAGCTTCTCGAACAGCAGCCGCCGTACTTACTGCTTTGGATACCTGGGAGTTTAGTACCGCCGATGAAGGCGCCAATGCTTGGCAAACGTTTTATACAACCCGTGAGGCCTTCCAAGGAACTCCAGCTCCACTTTGGGGAGAAATTAGTGGAATTGCAGCTGATGAACCTGACGTCGTTGAAGAAGCCGAAAAGGAAGAAGTCGCTGATTTGCCGTGTCCAACAATAGCTGTCGCAGAAACACCTGCCACAACATCAACAGAAGCAGCATCAGAAGTTGCAATTGCAACTGCAGCAGAACCATTGAACGTCCAGTTACCACTTACCCGTTTCGTTGAAGGGGAGCTCAACATATCTCCCGCGCTTTCTCCCTTAATAATTTATTCGTTTTATACTAATGCCGATTTCTACCTGCGATCATCAGGACACAAAGCCACCGAAGAAATCTGCCATCAGCTGTTAGGACATCCATCGGAAGGGATTCTTAATCATTCAATACGAGCATCAGTTCTTGATAAAAACAGTCTTCTTTTACATGACGGCACGAAGATGAAGCCGCAGTCCCGTCCCACGGTTTGCACCACGTGTCCACTTGCTACGTTTGGACAGCAAACCTTCCTGCTCGTTATCTCGCTCACTCCTTCTTCGTCGCATGACTCGCTGTCGCTGAACTCGAGTCTAGCGTGAAACTGCAAGAATTACAGAGTGATGGTGCACGGGAGTACACCAGCAACACTTTCACAGAATACCTTCAGACCCTCGACATCAAACGGAAGCAGTCACTGCCGCATGCACACCAACAGATGGGGGTAGCCGAAAGAATCAACAGAACTCTGCAGGAGAAGATGCATGCTCTGCTGAAGCAGGCAGCCCTTCCAGCACGTTTTTGGCCATATCTGTGAGAGTACGACCCCGTTACACCACTTGTTCCGTTCCCTATTTCCTTTCTATTCCATTTCTCTTTTTATCTCATCTCATTTGGTTTCCTATTCTCCATTTTCCATTATCCTTTGGTTTATCCTGCTATTATAATTATATCACCGACCAGGCTTGGGATGGACAGGCGCGCTATATCTAGCGTAATCCTGCCGTAATCCCTTAAAGCCAATAGCCTCGCGTGGCTATACGCGGGGTGATTCTATTTTCTAGAAGGGTCTATTCCTTTGGGATAAGATAAACCTGGTTACCTGATGTACTTTGGAAGTATAAAAGCGCCTTGTACTGATCGATAGTGCAACATTTCCTCGACACATTCGTGTTGTGTGATGTCATCATATGCTATCACATTCTGTCTGCCTCCCATCCCTTGTTTGAATTTGCATGTATGGTTTGACTGTGTGTGAAAGAATTTATGTGTGGTTTGTTCTGGAGTTTGGGAATGTGTTTTGTGTTATTTTGTCTGAGCAGGTATTTGTGATGATAGATCTTGAGAAGATCTTTCTGACGCAACAAGAATCGCTTCAATCGGAGCAAGAACGCGAAAGCTATGAAGATTCAAAGTTCATGAGCTTGCGTTACAATTGCGGCGGTTACAAAGTGAAGTTGTGGGGTGACTCTATATGGAGTTGGGACCTTTGGGGTTGGGGAAATTTGTCACTCTACTGTAACAGCTGCAAATTGGTTGGGAACAACCAAGCTAGGTTGGCAAGGGTGGCCAACTTGGATGGATTGGTTGGGAAGGGACAAATGTCAAAGTTGGGGTTCCAATAGGGAGGGAATCTTTGTGCTTATGGGGTTTCCTTGATTGGGGACTCTCTTAGGACATTCCCTCTCATCCCTCTCTTCTATCCCAACCTTTCTCTTGCTCCTCTAATTCCTTGTGAGATTCTTGAACTTTGATTGAACTTTTGAGATTGAGTTAAGTTCTCCTCCTACAGCTTACCCCCCAGTGCGTCGAAAGACATAGCGTCGCGAATACTCCATCAATCGATGTGATTCAAATTGAGAACGCTAGCTAAGGTTATCAGCTACAGCATATTCGAGTTTCGCGACATTCTTATGACTAGTTGTTTTTCGACGTCGTTTCTTGTGAAGACGACTTTTCTGTCCAGAATTTCGGATATATATTTTGAGTAATTCTAGCTCTTAAGTTCACCTAGACTCCGTCCTTAATCCTAACAATTCGATCCTGTGACACTTGGTAATCATAGCTTTTCTTACTCGGCCGCGCTCAACAAAGCAGCAGCAGCGGGAAAACCTGCATTGAAAAACTGCCGGGGGCGATCAATTCGACGCCGATTCTGGTAAGCACATGCTCTGCGTTTTTTCGAATTACCCCCCCCGCGCGTGTTTTGAACAGGATAGCAACCTTCGACAACGCCGAGGTTACCCAGCAGCTCTTCGCGAGCATCGCAGCCCTTCAGCAGGAGATGCGAGCGGACCGCAAAGCGTGGCGAAACGTATTCGAGCGAGTAATTCGACTCGCCGGAGCGCAGCACAACTCGACAACGGTGACGACGCAGCAGTTTCTTGAGGCTCCGAAACCGCGCCCACCTGAGCTGTTCGATCCGAGCGATCGAAAACCGACGTCCGCAGATGGATCGCCGGCATGGAGATCTACGTCGCACCCGTCGGATGGAGCTCGCCATTCTGGGACGGTCAACGTGTACGACTCGCGGCGACACTGATGCGAGGACCGGCACTCGAGTGGATCGGTGGTAACATCACGTTCATCCACGGCGAAGCCACGTGGCAGCAGCTCCGCACCGACCAGCTGAAACGTTTCGAGCCGATAAATTCGGGTTTCCTTGCCCAGGAAAAAATCCATCGCCATCGACAGTTCGGGAGCGTAGCGCAGTACACGCAGCAGATGGAGGAATTTTATAACCGCATTCCCGACCTGACCGAAGGGGAAAAAGTACAGTCGTACCTCGCCGGGCTAAAGACCGAAGTCAAACGACAGGTGGCAGCGACAAACTATGCGAGCTACAATGACGTCGTTTCGGCAGCCAAGCGCTTCGACATAGTCAACGCCAGGACACGACGGGCGCACGTCGGCAGTACACGACAGGGCGACCGCTCGGCTCACCCCACGTTCGCCGACCCGATGGAAGTCGACAGGTTCGAAGGGCAGCCACGTCCGAAAAACACCAACTTCACGTGTGATTTTTGCGGGGTGCCGCGTCATCGAATCTTCGACTGCAACAAAAATGAAAGCCGCGAGCGTAGAGTATCGGCCACGCAACAGTGGTGGAATTCCTTCGGCCAATCAGAAGCCAAAAAACCGGACTCCCCAGTAATTGCGCATCTAGCTGGCGAAAAAGAAAAGATCCGAAATTGCCCGCGGACTTCCGGAAAAATCAACTTCGATGCAGCTGATTCGACGCGAACAGGAGAAAATGATGGGGAAAAATCTCCACCCCACGACCTGTCTTTGCCAGAGGAATTCGTCGAGGAAAAATGTAACTCTGCGAAAAAGGACTCTGCCGAGACAGGGAAACTCCTTGAAGACCCAAGAAATTATAAGGATTCGTTAAAGTTATCTTATAAAGATGCTTTAATGAAAACTTGTAATTCTCGAGGGGCTTGAGCCTTGGAGAAAATACGGGAGGGACTCCAGAAGAAGCAGAAAATTGTGGAGATCATCCCGGTACCGAAGAACTTGGAGACCAAATTAAGGAGTGTGGAAAGAAGCCGACCTTTCCACGGAGTCAACGTCCTCTCCCGACACCAGCCCACAGCGACTACCCGTTCCTCAGGGAAGACGTTGGTGGAGCTGAAGCATGTCAAAAGGAAGCTGGGGTCTACAAGAAGCTGCAAAAACCACGAACTCCTTCTTCGGATGCATCCAACTCGGCAACTTCGTCAACGAAAACAACAGTCGTCCCGAAAACTCCGGGCCCTGGAGAAGAGCCGTTCTCCAAGTAGCACTCGTGGACAACGGTGTTGTTTAGAGAAGACTATAAGGAGCTAATTCAATGGCTCCTTGGAAGTTTCTGCAGCACTTCGTTATGACGCCCAGAAAACTCGCGACCTTCGAAAAGCTATATCCAAAACTCCAATCGGTGAAACAATCTGAAAATCGGATATGTTGTAGCTTGCAGCGTTAGCTTTCCACTCAAAGTTGAATCACTCGATTCCGTAGCTTAACAAGTGAGCTATGGCGTTTGGCGCACTGGGGGATAATCTGCCCTAGGAGAAATTGACAGTCCTCAGAGTCACTATAATTGAAGCTTACAAGTTCAGAGGCATGATGGAAAAGGAATTGAAGCACAGTTGGAAGGTGGGGTAGGAAGGGAAGGATGAAAGGGAAGGACCCTGGAGGCCCATGGTCAAGAACATGACAAGAGTCAAAGTTTTGACTCCCCATCCTCAGGTTCAGCCAGCCTGGCAAGACAAAATTCACACTGTGCCAGGTTGGCCTCCAAACCCCAAATGCTGCAGCTGCAAGGTGGGGACAAAAGTCCCACACATGCTGGTCCCTCCTCGTTATAGGGCTCTCCAATTTTGGTGTAGCAGCTGACAAGGACTTCCAATGAGTTGTAACAAATCCATCAAACATTTCTTCGTAACTTTTTCATATGTGCTCCGATTCCAACAATTCTTGGCTCGTTGGAATGTGCTCGATGTCATGCACAATCCAAGCACATCTGCACAAGCACAAGATGAACATGCAAAGACATGCAAACCCAACAAACCATACAAACAACGTAGCACACAAAACACATGCAACGAAATGATTCGAACAGACGACAGGATGACGTGCAAACGAATATGCACCAACACACTCCCCCTCAGACTGTCGGCTTGTTTCGCCGTCTCTAGTTCAAGGACATTCTCGCCATCCTCGCACAGCGCCAGTGTGGCTCTTCAGCTAGCCGCTTGGTAAGGAAGTCCGCTGGCTGTTGCTGAGTTTTCACGAAGATCGGTTCCAGTGTCCCAAGCTTCACCTCCTTCCACAGCCAATGCCACTTGATCCTCATGTGCTTGTTCAACCCATGAAGAGCTGCATTGCGTACCATGGGAATGGCTACCTTGCTGTCACTGAACAGAGGTGTCGCACAAGTCTGTTCATGGCCGATCTCCTTCAAGAGCCTCCTTAGCCAAATGATTTCTTTTGCCGCATGAAACATCGCCATGTACTCAGATTCCACTGAAGATAGTGCCGTTTCAGACTGCTTCTTGGACCTCCAACTTACAGGCCCACCTCCCACCATGCAGATGTATCCACCAACTGATGATGAATCCTCATGCTCACAAAGCCCACGTGGCATCAGCAAAACAGGAAAGGAACACCTTTCCTTCTCCGAGCTGCTCCCCCTTCTCTTTGAGGACTTCAACACATTTTTGACTCAGTTGAGCAGAGGCTGAATACTGTACTCCCACTGTAGGGTATGACTTGAGGTAGCGCACCACTCTCTCCGCTGCACCATACTGCTCTTCTGTTGGATTTTGCACTACTCGAGCCAGCTGTCCCACAGCAAAGCTGATGTCAGGCCGAGTATGCACAGCAGCGTAGAGTAGGCTCCCGACCATGGATTGGAATTGCCTCTGGTCTTCACTCTCAACTCCTTCTCCTTCAGCTGCCTTTATGAGTTTGAACTCGGAAGGCAAAGGTGTGGCCACTTCCCGTTCTTCCTGCAGAGAGTACTTCTCAGCCAAGGTGTTGATGTACTGTTCCTGATGCAGTTTGAGCCAGCCACGTTCAGTACTTGGAGGCAATGTGCATTCCCACGTAGTACCTTGCCTCTCCAAGTGACTTGCACTTGAACTGCTCTGTGAGCTTCCGCTGCACCCCATCGATCTCCTTGTCACTGCTGCTGAAGAGCAGGATGTTATCCACGTACACCAGTAGAAGCACATGCGACTCCCCCTCGCCCATCAGGAATAGGCTCTCGTCGCATACACTCGCACGGAATCCAATCCCTTCCAGTGCACTGGCCAGCATGTTGTACGAGCATCTCAGGGCCTGCTTCAAGCCATAGATGGCCTTGTTAAGTTTGCAGACACGACCGGTTCCATCCTCATAGCCAGGTGGTTGAACCATGTACACCTCCTCTTCCACAATGCCGTACAGAAAAGCGGTTACGATGTCCATCTGCTTCACCTTCCATTTGCGCACAGCAGCTACCGCCAGCATCACACGTAGCGTTGGAGACTTAGCAGTTGGGGCAAACACTTCTTTGTAATCTTCCTTCTCTTTCTGTTGAAACCCCTTTGCCACCAGCTTGCTCTTGTAAACTGATGGCTCTCCTTTCTCATCCGTCTTGATTTTTGCCAGCCACTTGCACTGTATTGCCTTCTTCCCATTTGGCAAGTACACCAGGTCCCATGTGTGGTTCTCCAACTGGCTGTTGTACTCTGAATCTCTTGAAACAAGCCACTTCCCCGGTTGAGGCCCGGCTAGCGCATGATCCATGCTCGGAGGTTGTATTGGTGCGTAAAAGCAGTATGCAGGCTCCTCGTCATCTGACTCTTGGTCATCACCCAAGAACAGCACTGCATCTTCGCATTGAGCCTGTTCCTGCTGCTCAGTTGTGGCTCCTCCACTTGTAGAGCTCAGCAGCTTTCTCGTTGCCATTCTGGTACGTGCAGGGTAGATGGTTGGATTTACCCATTCTTTCACCTTCACCCAATCCTTTGTCCCCCCACCAATCTGTTTCCTTCGCTTTGGCATACTTGGTTTTTTGGAAGCCTCTTGTTGCTGCTGCTCCGGATCCTTGACTTCAGCATCAGCTGCAATATCCTCATTGCTTCCTTCATCAGTACCGCTTGCCGTTGGCACAGTGACTTCGCTGTCCTCAGGTTCGGACAAATCGAAGTGCATAGTGATTTCTTCCAGCTGCTGAGTGACCCTTGCCTCCGGCTGCTTCTCCCACTTGCCGTACATGATGTTCTCCACAAATTTGACATCCCGACTGTCAAAAAGCACATTCTTCGAGGGCTCCCAGAGAAGCCACCCCTTGCTCTCTGCCGCAAGCCCAAGGTGCACACACCACAGTGCAGATGCTCCAAGTTTTGTCCTGTACGGTTTAGGGACATGCACCACTGCCATGCATCCGAACACTCTAAGCATGTCCACTGGAGGCTTCTTTATAAGCCACCTCTCCAGCGGCACCCACATATCATCAGCCACCTTTGTGAGTACGCGGTTCCTTGCCACTGTAGCATGCCTTACCACATGAGGCCACATGGAGTTCCCCAGCCCTGATTCGATCACCAGCGCTCGTGCAGTTTCCAGGATGGTTCTATTAGCCCTCTCAGCAATGCCATTTGACTGAGGGGTATAGGACGTCGTTAGCTGATGCTCAATGCCTTGTTTCTTGAGCCACGTAGTTAGATCTCCTCCTAGAAACTGTCCACCTCGGTCGGTTCTGATGCTCTTGCATGGGTGCCCAGATTGTCGCTCAACGAACGGCAGCCAGTCATCTCTTATTGTTGAGGCAGCATGATCCTTCTACTTCAACGGGTATACCCACATCAGCCGACTCCAGTCATCAACTATTGTCAGGAAGTACATTTCCCGCTTACTTCCTCGAACTGGAAAAAGGTCCTACCAGGTCCATGTGCACCAGTTCGAGTGCTGCCTTGCTTTTCCCAGCTACGCCATAAAGGGGAACTGTGTGAACTTGCTCAGCAGACACGTCTTGCACTTGGTATCATTTGGTTGCCCCGAAAGCTTCAGCCCCTTTACTGCTTCTTCCTTATGCAGTTGCTGCAGCAATGGCATAGCCACATGCCCTAGACGCCTGTGTGCGGTTTCCCAATCAGTCTCCCCCGTCCTTGCAGAAACCGTCACTCCTGCAGCACTAACTGCATTGCACTCCCCCTGGACTCCAGATCCCGCCTTTACTTCTCCCAACTCCTTCTTTGTTGATTCCCATATCAGCGCAGGGATGTGCCACATGGATCTGAAAACATCTCTGCTTTCGTGTGGATCCCATAACACAGGATCTCCTCGCAGCCCCTTGAATGTTTTGGATCCATTGGTGGTGGTGCTGACTCCGGCCTGGCCTAGCTTGCGCAGCAATATCAGATTGGCCTTCAGCCCCGGTACGACTAACACGTCCTTCAGCACAACCAGTCCACCATCAGGTGCTCTGAATGCAGCTCGACCAACTCCAGCGACCTTCACTGCATGTCCGGATGCTGAGCGCACTTCGGAGATTGGAGGCGCTCGCACAGCATCCAGCAAGTCCTTGCATGGTGTCCTTGTCCATGCAGCACCAGAGTCCATGACCCACATGTCAAGCGGGTGCAATTCCTCTCCAGCCCTTGCAACAGCTGTGCCACAGTCATTTTTGTCACACACATGGTAGAACTGTCCAGCATTCCTCTCCTCATTTCCCATTCCTCTGTCATCCTTGGAGGTTTCTTCAGCAGGATCAGCTACCATGTTGGCACCTCCATGTGGTTGCTTTCCTCCATTCCCCGTTTGCGATTGGTTCGAAGGGGTCCACCAGTCGAGCTTGGTAGAGCAGCGAAACGATGGATGCCCTTCTTCCTTTGCAATACCAGCACTCTCCCCTCAAGCGTGGTTCACTGTTGTCATTGTTGGAGTGACCACCTCTTCCTCTTGCACCAGCGCCACCACGCCCCCGCTGGTTCCAAGTCCCGCGACCACCTTGGTTGTAGTAAGAGCGACCGCGATTGCCACGCCCTCGATCTCTCAATGTCCCTTGCATGGCATAGCCGCTGGTGCTGTCATCACCTCCGCGCAGTGTATAGCGACGAAAATCTTCTTCCGGAATCTTGGTGCGAATCCACTCCAATGTCCATTGACTTTGGTTTTGTGGCAAGCTGAGTCCGCTTATAAATTGCAGCCAAGACTCCGGCAGCAGGCTGAGCATCTTGAGACACTTAGTCTGCTCGGGGTACGTGATGCCAGCAATCGCCAATTTCGCGTAGAGTTCCCTCATCTTGTCCAGTACGGGCTGCAAGGTTCATTCTCGCTCAACCGCAGCATGGACAGCTCCTGATCCAGCATGAGAGAAGCGGCAACCGATGTCGGAGCGTGCAGGTCCTTGAGCACTGCCCATGCCTTGGGCCCACAATCAGTTTCCGGTAGCAGATGCATGATGTGATGCCTCTGGTTCAGCTCCAAGCTTTGTGACAGTACATAATACCCAGCAGATGAACGTTCATCCCAGTCCGCTTGCTCTGCCATTTCCTTTGGCCTGGGCTCCGTTCCAATCATGAGCTTCAAGAGGCCAATTTGTCGAAAGTAGAGCTGCATCTTCCATGCCCAATCATCATAGCCATCTCCAGTGAACTTCTCAATGGTGAAGTTCTTCAGCACCTCCTTAAGCAGTGACCCCTGGCTTGTACGCGCTCCCCTTTGCGCTGCAATGCCAGAATCTTGGGTTGAGCTGCCTCCTTGGACTGAAGTATAACCTCCACCAGAGTCCTCCTTATATCCCATCGAATTTTAGGTCCCAAATGCGTGATAATGGGCTCTGATACCACTTGTTGTTTAGAGAAGGCTATAAGCAGATGATTCAATGGCTCCTTGGAAATTTCTGCAGCACTTCGTTATGATGCCCAGAAAACTCGCGACCTTCGAAAGCTATATCCAAAACTCCAATCGGTGAAAAGCTCTGAAAATTGGATATGTTGTAGCTTGCAGCGTCAGCTTTTCACTGAAAATTTTAACCACTCAATTCCGTAGCTTAACAAGTGAGCTATGGCGTTTGGCGCACTGGAGGGTAATCTGCCCTAGGAGAAGTTGACAGTCCTCAGAGTCACTATAATTGAAGCTTACAAGTTCAGAGGCATGATGGAAAAGGAATTGAAGCACAGTTGGAAGGTGGGGTAGGAAGGGAAAGATGAAAGGGAAGGACCCTGGAGGCCCATGGTCAAGAACATGACAAGAGTCAAAGTTTTGACTCCCCATCCTCAGGTTCACCCAGCCTGGCAAGACAAAATTCACACTGTGCCAGGTTGGCCTCCAAACCCCAAATGCTGCAGCTGCAAGGTGGGGACAAAAGTCCCGCACATGCTGGTCCCTCCTCGTTATAGGGCTCTCCAATTTTGGTGTAGCAGCTGACAAGGACTTCCAATGAGTTGTAACAAATCCATCAAACATTTCTTCGTAACTTTTTCATATGTGCTCCGATTCCAACAATTCTTGGCTCGTTGGAATGTGCTCGATGTCATGCACAATCCAAGCACATCTGCACAAGCACAAGATGAACATGCAAAGACATGCAAACCCAACAAACCATACAAACAACGTAGCACACAAAACACATGCAACGAAATGATTCGAACAGACGACAGGATGACGTGCAAACGAATATGCACCAACACACTCCCCCTCAGACTGTCGGCTTGTTTCGCCGTCTCTAGTTCAAGGACATTCTCGCCATCCTCGCACAGCGCCAGTGTGGCTCTTCAGCTAGCCGCTTGGTAAGGAAGTCCGCTGGCTGTTGCTGAGTTTTCACGTAGATCGGATCCAGTGTCCCAAGCTTCACCTCCTTCCGCAGCCAATGCCACTTGATCCTCATGTGCTTGTTCAACCCATGAAGAGCTGCATTGCGTACCATGGGAATGGCTACCTTGCTGTCACTGAACAGAGGTGTCGCACAAGTCTGTTCATGGCCGATCTCCTTCAAGAGCCTCCTTAGCCAAATGATTTCTTTTGCCGCATGAAACATCGCCATGTACTCAGATTCCACTGAAGATAGTGCCGTTTCAGACTGCTTCTTGGACCTCCAACTTACAGGCCCACCTCCCACCATGCAGATGTATCCACCAACTGATGATGAATCCTCATGCTCACAAAGCCCACGTGGCATCAGCAAAACAGGAAAGGAACACCTTTCCTTCTCCGAGCTGCTCCCCCTTCTCTTTGAGGACTTCAACACATTTTTGACTCAGTTGAGCAGAGGCTGAATACTGTACTCCCACTGTAGGGTATGACTTGAGGTAGCGCACCACTCTCTCCGCTGCACCACACTGCTCTTCTGTTGGATTTTGCACTACTCGAGCCAGCTGTCCCACAGCAAAGCTGATGTCAGGCCGAGTATGCACAGCAGCGTAGAGTAGGCTCCCGACCATGGATTGGAATTGCCTCTGGTGTTCACTCTCAACTCCTTCTCCTTCAGCTGCTATTATGAGTTTGAACTCGGAAGGCCAAGGTGTGACCACTACTCGTTCTTCCTGTAGGGAGTACTTCTCAGAACCCCCAAGAAAAATCAAGGAATTACTGAAGGAGTTCCAAGACATTCTCCCCGACGACCTCCTGGAGGAGCTACCGACATACCGAACGCAACAACATGAGATCGTGGAGGAACCAGGTTCGAAGCCGACCTTCCGAGAACCATTTCGGCTCAGCCCCACAGAGCTAGCCGACATGAAAAAGCAAATCGAGTATCTCCTCGCCAAAGGACTCATCTGACCATCCACTTCACCATACGGTGCCCTAGTACTCTTCACACCAAAACCGGACAGAAGCCTGCGCATGTGCATCGACTACTAAGCTCTCAACAAGTAGACCATCAAGAATAAGTATCCGATTCCACGAATCGATGATCTGCTCGACCAGCTTCGGGGAGCCACGGAAATTTCAATATTAGATCTGTGGTCCTGGATATTGGCAGATTAGAATGGCGGACGATTCCGTTAGAAATAGACTGCAAATACCACTTCTATATTTGTACTTTTATATCCTAGTTTAGGTTATGAATGTTCTAGTGGGTTGGGGTGAAGAAATGACGAAGTTGTTAGGATTAAGGACGGAGTCTAGGTGAACTTAGGAGCTAGAATTACTCAAAATATAAATCCGAAATTCTGGATAGAAAAGTCGTCTTCACAAGAAACGACGTCGACGGAAAACTAGCCGTTGGAATGTTGCGAAACTTGGATATGTTGTAGCTCTTAATCTTAGCTACCGTTCTCAATTTGAATCACGTTCATTGATGAAGTATTCGCGACGCTATGTCTTTCGACGCACTAGGGGGTAAGCTGTAGGAGGAGAACTTAACTCAATCTCAAAGGTTCAATCAAAGTTCAAGAATCTCACAAGGAATTAGAAGGAGCAAGAGAAAGGTTGGGATAGAAAGAGAGGGATGAGAGGGAAGATCCCAAGAGAGTCCCCAACCAAGGAAACCCCATAAGCACAAAGATTCCCTCCCTATAGGAACCTCAACTTTGACCTTTGTCCCTTCCCAACCAATCCATCCAAGTTGGCCACCCTTGCCAACCTAGCTTGGTTGTTCCCAACCTATTTGCAGCTGTTACAGTAGAGTGACAAGTTTCCCAAACCCCAAAGGTCTCAACTCCATTGTGAGTCACCCCACAACTTCACTTTGTAACCGCCGCAATTGTAACGCAAGCTCAAGAACTTTGAATCTTCATAGCTTTCGCGTTCTTGCTCCAATTGAAGAGATTCTTGTTGCGTCGGAAAGATCTTCTCAAGATCTATCATCACAAATACCTGCTCAAACAAAATAACACATAACACATTCCCAAACTCCAGAACACACACCACACAAATGCTTGCACATTCAAACCACACATGCAAGTTGAAAACATGGGATGGGAGGCAGACAGAATGTGATAGCATATGATGACATCACACAACAATCTCCCCCTCTGGCTGCCAACCATCATCCATCATGCCACATCTCAAGCATGCATACTCAATGCACACTCATCCCAGCAAGCTTCATGCCCTTCCAATGATCCGCCTCCGCCAGACGCTTAGTGAAAATATCTGCTGCCTGCTGATGGGTCTTCACTATCTCCAGCCGCACCTCCTTATCAAGAAGTCTCCTCACCCAGTGCCACTTAGGCCTTATGTGTTTTGTCAGCCCATGCAGACAAGCATTCTTGGCGAGCTTCACAGCGGACTCATTGTCACAAAACACAACTGTCGGCTTCTCCTGACCAACTCCCAACTCCTCCAACAAGCGCCTCAGCCACACCACTTCCTTGGCCCCATGGTGTAAGGCCATGTACTCAGTCTCACATGAGGACAATCCCACCTCATTCTGCTTCTTGCTGCGCCAGCTCACAGCACCACCTCCTAGCAAGCACACATATCCCCCAATGCTGGTGCCATCCGCTTTCACTGAGTTGAAGCTAGCGTCAGTATAGCAACTCAAGAGCATCTCTCCACTCTTCACATCTGCAGCACCTCTCTGCAACCGCTGCCTCACTCCACTGTACTCCAATCCCACTGATGCCGTAGCACTCACATAGCGGACCAACCTCTTGGCCGCTTCCAGCTGCTCATGACTAGGGCGTGAGACCACACTAGCCAACCGTGATGTAGAAAATGCAATGTCAGGCCGTGTATGATTTGCAGCATAATTCAGCGACCCAACCATCGAATGAAACAGCTTCCTGTCACTCTCACCCACTACCTCCTCATCAGCACATGGCTCCACAGTAAACCCTGAAGGTAGTGGTGTTGCTGGCTTTCCCCCATCTTGCAGCCCATACTTCTCAGCCAGCCCCTCACAGTACTTCCTCTGGTGCAACCTCAGCACACCCTTCTCCACATCTCTCTCCACATGCATCCCCAAGTAGTACTTCACCTCACCCATCTTGGAACACTTGAACTGCATCTCTAGCATCTGCTCTGCGCTGTCCAGCAAAGCAGTTGATGCAGAAAAGAGAAGGATATCATCCACGTACACCAAGAGCATGAGGATTTCATCCTTCTCCTGCAGCAGGAACAGGCTGGGGTCACACTCACTCTTCTTGAAACCCCCAGCCAACAGCGCCTCCTCCAACTTGTGATACCATGCACGAGGCGCCTGCTTAAGGCCATAGATGGCCTTCTTCAGCCTGCAGACCCTGCCGCTCCCATCATCCAGCCCCTCTGGCTGCTTCATATACACCTCCTCCAGAATGATCCCATTCAGAAAGGCAGTCACAATGTCCATCTGCCGTATCTTCCATCCCAGGAGTGCAGCTATCGCCAACAGCACCCTCAGTGTTGTTCCTTTCCCCACAGGAGCAAACACCTCATCATAGTCCTTCCCTTTTGTCTGCTGAAACCCCCTTGCCACAAGCCTAGACTTGTAGCGGGTCAGCTCCCCTTCAGGTCCATACTTGTGCCTGTAGATCATCTTGGAAGTGATTGCCTTCTTCCCAGGAGGCAAGTCACACAGGTCCCATGTCTCGTTTTCAATCAGGGACCCGAACTCCTCATCCTCACTCGCCTTCCACTTCTCCCCATTTGGTCCATTCAAGGCCTCCTCTCGAGTCTTGGGCTCAGGGATTGGTGCCCAGTAGCAGTGAGCGATCTCATCTTCCTCAATCTGCTCAACCACACTCCCAGCCTGCACCACATTTGGCTTGCCTCTTCCCCCATAGGTCAGCCTCACAGGAGGGCGCACATCCCTCCTAGGTCGCTCAGGCGGCTGTGGAACTCGAGGTGGAGACTCATGTTGCTGTTGCTGCTCCACTTCAGCTGCTCCCCCTTCTTCAGTCACCCCAGATATCTCCTCCTCAGACACTGCAACCTCCACGTGCCTTGAAGGCTGCTGCAACTCATCTGCCTCCACAATGAGTGGTGTAGATGGAAGCTTCTGTTGCTGCTGCTTCCATTCCTTATAGTACAGGGACTCAAGAAACTTCACATCCCTTGACACTGTCAGCTTCTGGATGGTCAAGTCCCATAGAAGCCATCCCTTGTGATCCTTTGCAATCCCCAAGTGCACACCCCATCTTCCAGAAGCCTCCAACTTCCCTCTTTTCTCCTTAGGCACATGAAACACTACCATGCACCCAAATGCCCTCAGCATATTCACAGCTGGAGCACTCCCATACCACTTGGTATATGGGATCCACTCCTTATCCCCAACTGTAGCCAGCACTCTATTCTTCACAAGGGCGACCTGCCTCAGTGCAGACACCCAAAACGGATCAGGTAGCCCTGCACGCCCAAGGAGAGTGCGTGCCCCCTCCTGCAGGGTCCTGTTGAACCTCTCAGCCACGCCATTCTGCTGCGGATTGTAGGGCACTGTCAGTTGATGCTGGATCCCCTTCCTCTTCAACTCCCCCTCAAAATCAGCTCCAATGAACTCCCCACCATTGTCACTGCGGATCACCTTCACCTTGTGTCCGCATTCCCTCTGAGCTCTAGGCATCCACTCCTTAAGGACAGCCGCTGCCACCTCCCCCTTGCTGTTCAAAGGGTAAACCCACACTGCCCGAGTGTGGTCATCCACAATTGTCAAGAAATAGCGGCTGCCTGAGAGGGAAGGGGCTCTTGTGGGCCCCACCACATCCATGTGCACAAGTGCAAGTGGGGTCTTGGCTGGTCCTGTTGCACTGTTGAAGGGGAACTTGGAGAACTTGGTCTCCAAGCATGTAGGGCAGCTCCCAATCTCCTTCACTTCCCCTTTCACCTCCAAGCCCTTCAGGCTCCCATTCTTCACCAACTTCTGCAGCATAGGGAAGTTCACATGACACAACCTCTCATGCCATGTCTCCCAATCGGCCTCTCCACTCCTTGATGAAGCCTTAGCCCATGCCGCACTCGCATCCACACCAGCAAGCACCTCACCATGTGTCTGCTGCTTCTGCACTTTCTTGACTGCTTCCAGGACCCCATCAGTTGGTGCAGTTGCATCTCCTCCTGCTGTTGCCTTTGCCGCTGCTGCCGTTGCTGCTGTTGGAGTCTTCCCATTCCAAGGGATGATGGGCAGCTGCCACAGGTCCTTGATGCAGCTGGTCTCCTCTTCCAGACTCCACAGCACCTTCTTCCCAAGCTTAGCACGGCAGCTGGTTGGTCCAAAGGTCACTTCGGCCTTGCTCTTCTGCAGTCGCCGCACAGAGAGAAGGTTAGCAGACAAACCTTCAACTAGCAGAACATTCCCAAGCCCCACAAGCTCCCCATTAGCTCCCTTAACCTTGGCATTTCCAACACCAATGACAGGGAGCAAAGCACCTGACGCTGCTGCCACATACTTGATCTTCCCAGGGGGTTTTACCTCATCAAGCAAATCTGCCTGTGGGGTCATGTGACTGGTGCAACCCGAATCAATCACCCAGTGCGTGAGAGGGTGCATCACAACCTTTCCCACAGATCCCACATCACCCTCATGCCCATGCACATCCTCAACCATAACAAACAAACCAGGATAGGCATTACCTTGTGCACCTTCACCTTGTGCACCTGAGCCTTGCACAGCGCCACCTTGTGCGCGTTCACCACTGGGCGGCTTCATGCCTGGAGGTGCCCATCCCTCCAGCCTGCTGAAGCACTTGAACCAAGGATGCCCAACCTTCTTGCAGTACCAGCACGTGCCCTCCATTCTGGTACTCCCCCTGCCACTAGAGCTCCCATGCCCCTCATTATAGTCACCTCGGCCTCTACCTCTGCCAAAGCTCCTCCCACGGCCTCGGCCTTTCCAACCCCCTCTTCCTCTGCCGCGCCCTGCAGCTCCATACCCCTCAGCAGTCTTAGTGGCAGCACCGCCTCCCACATGGCGTCTGCGGAAGTCCTCCTGCAGAATCTGCTGCCTTAGCCACTCAGGTGTCCATTGATCTTGCTGAGAGTTGAGGGTGGGGATGAGGTTATCCCACGAGTTGTCCAACACCGAGATGATCTTGGTGCACTGCTGCAGCTGAGATACACTGCTGCCCGCTGCTGCCATCCTTGCATAGGTGTCCTTGATCTTGTCAAGGACCGGCTTCACATCGTCCCCTGGTCGCATGGAGATGGCAGCAAGTTCCTTCTCGAGCACGATCACCATCAGGAGAGTGTTGGGCTGAATCACATCGCGTAGTAGTTTCCACGCCCTTGGACCCGAATCATCCGCTTCCACAAGATCCTTGATGTGCTCGAACATCTCCTTGTTGACCGATTGAAGGATGAGGTCGAAAAGCACCGTGCTTTTCTCAATCCACCGTTCACGTGCTTCGCCTTCTTCCGGCATCTTCTCTTCCCCAACAGCAATCTTCAGTAGCTTGTAGCGTTTGAAGGCACTTCTCATCCGTCCGCTCCATTCCTCATAGTTGGAGCCATCCAAAGCTTCAACTTTTGATGGCGGCGGCTCACTTGTCTTCTCAGCTACAGCTCCTCTTCCATTAGCATCTCCTCCTCTCTCATTCATCTTCTCCTTGAGAAATGACGAATTTCAGCCCCCCTTTGCTGTCCACACTCAGCTCCCTCGATATTTTCACAAGTGTCGGCGTCCACGAAATTTCGGCAGAGTTTCCCTTAGCGGAAGACACATCCAACCTTTAGAACACCACTTAGGCACACCCACAGGCCATGGTGGGTCTAGAAGGGTCTTCACACTTCTGTAGACTCCTCTCAACGTCCTTAATACAGCTCTGATACCACTTGTTAGGATTAAGGACGGAGTCTAGGTGAACTTAGGAGCTAGAATTACTCAAAATATAAATCCGAAATTCTGGATAGAAAAGTCGTCTTCACAAGAAACGACGTCGACGGAAAACTAGCCGTTGGAATGTTGCGAAACTTGGATATGTTGTAGCTCTTAATCTTAGCTACCGTTCTCAATTTGAATCACGTTCATTGATGAAGTATTCGCGACGCTATTTCTTTCGACGCACTAGGGGGTAAGCTGTAGGAGGAGAACTTAACTCAATCTCAAAGGTTCAATCAAAGTTCAAGAATCTCACAAGGAATTAGAAGGAGCAAGAGAAAGGTTGGGATAGAAAGAGAGGGATGAGAGGGAAGATCCCAAGAGAGTCCCCAACCAAGGAAACCCCATAAGCACAAAGATTCCCTCCCTATAGGAACCTCAACTTTGACCTTTGTCCCTTCCCAACCAATCCATCCAAGTTGGCCACCCTTGCCAACCTAGCTTGGTTGTTCCCAACCTATTTGCAGCTGTTACAGTAGAGTGACAAGTTTCCCAAACCCCAAAGGTCTCAACTCCATTGTGAGTCACCCCACAACTTCACTTTGTAACCGCCGCAATTGTAACGCAAGCTCAAGAACTTTGAATCTTCATAGCTTTCGCGTTCTTGCTCCAATTGAAGAGATTCTTGTTGCGTCGGAAAGATCTTCTCAAGATCTATCATCACAAATACCTGCTCAAACAAAATAACACATAACACATTCCCAAACTCCAGAACACACACCACACAAATGCTTGCACATTCAAACCACACATGCAAGTTGAAAACATGGGATGGGAGGCAGACAGAATGTGATAGCATATGATGACATCACACAACAGAAGTTCGATGTGCTTGGTGCGAGAGTGGAACACAGGATCCTTGGTGAGATGAATGGCACTCTGGTTGTCACACCACAGGGTGGGCGACTGCTGGGGGTAGCCTAACTCAGCGAGGAGAAAGGAGAGCCAGCGCGCCTCTTGAGCAGCCATTGTGCCCGCGTAGAGCTCGGCCTCGCAGGACGACAGGGAGACTGCAGAGGACCGAGTGGAGCGCCAGCTGATGACTCCGCTACCAAGGGTGAAGCAGTACCCTTGGGAGGAGCGTCTGTCAGTCTGGTCATCGGCCCATGAGGAGTCTGTGTATCCCTTGAGTTTGACTGGAGAGGTACCACCAAGAGTGAGGATGTGAGACTTGGTGGCTTGTAGATAGCGGAGGACCCTCTTGGCTGCAGACCAATGCGAGGCAGTGTAGCGTCCGGGGGAGACGTACCGAGAGAGGACACTAACCGGGTAAGCCAAGTCTGGTCGAGTGCACATCATGGCATACATGAGTGAACCGACTAGCTCAGGGTACGGATCCTTGCAGGCGTCAGGAGAAGGAACTGGAGGGGCCGTGAGCTGATGCTGTAGTGGGAGTGGAGTGGAGACAGAGTTGCTGGAGTCCATGTCGAACCGCTTGAGAAGGTTGTCGATGTAGGACTCCTGGGAGAGGGTGATCGTGCAAGCCTGGCGGTCACGAGTGATCTCCATCCCCAGGTAGTTCTTGAGGTCACCAAGATCCTTCATGAGAAGGGCGGAGCTGAGAGCAGACTGGACAGCTGCCATGTCGGCTGGATCTCTGGCGGCTAGAATGAAGTCGTCGACATAGACGAGGATGTAGAAGGGCTCAGAGGAGTGACGAACGAAGAGACTGGAATCTGAGGCAGAGGGATGGAAGTCAAGTGCGAGGAGGACTTCCTTCACCTTGTTGTGCCACTCACGAGGAGCCTGCTTGAGGCCATACACTGGGCGCTTCAGCTTCCACACTGTGTTGACGGGGTAAGTGCCAGGAAACCCTGGTGGGCGTTCCATGTGAACATCCTCCTTGAGCTGGCCTTGGAGAAAGGCGGAGGAGGCGTCCATGGACTTGATCTCGAAGTTGCCGCGAGCGGCTATATCAAGAAGAGCGCGCACAGTCGGGAGCTTGGCCGTGGGCGAGAATGTTTTGAAGAGGTCGAGATACTCCTTCTGGGTGAAACCCTTCGCCACGTATCGTGCCTTGAACAGTGGAGCTTCGCCTGGGAGTTGTTTGACTCGGAAGATCCATTTTCCGCCGACGATGTTGACACCGCAAGGGGGAACAACATCCTCAAAGCTGTTGTTGCGAATGAACGCCTCGTTCTCCACATCCATTGCTGCCTTCCACTCCTTCTTATAAGGCCCCGAGAGAGCTTCCTCTTTTGTGCGAGGAGTCGGAATGGTCGGGTTCTCGGTGAAGTTGAGGGAAGGGCAGTCAGTAATGTCCGGGAAGATGTGAGAGAGAAATTGGCAGACCGCGTGAAGGTCAAACAGCTCCTCATGCCTGTCCTCCAGAAGTGCACGGGGGGGAATACGGATGGAGGGGACATCACCCCCGGCAGGAGGAGGCGGGGTGACCGAACACCGGATGGAGAAGGCGGCTGGTCCCCAGACGAGAGGCGGAGCCGGTCCCTTGGAATGAGTGCGACTAGAGACTGGAGACGAAGGCGGCTGCGGTGGGACCGGAGGGACTAGGCGCCTCCGATAGGAGACTGGTGAGCCGGGCTGATGCGCGGGGAAGGCGGAGCAGGAGGAGGTGCCGCTGCGGAGGATACTGGGGAGGCCGGGTGAGACACGCCGGACGGAGAAGGCCCCGGAGAAGGGGCAGCGGCCGGAGGTGGGGCATCGAAGTCTGCCCTAACAAGCGTCGGGGGAGGTGGAGGAGGCTCGCCCGTGGTCGCAGAGTGGAATGGGCGTGTCTCATCGAAGACGACATCACGGCTGCGAATCAGCTGTCTGGTGATTGGGTTGAGGAATAAGTAGTCTGGGGAGTCGGAGTTGTGCCCCAGGTACATGCAGGTCTGGGTTTTGGGACCAAGCTTGCCACCTTGCTTCCTGCACGTGTGGGGGCTTAGCAACACATACGCGGTACACCCCCAGACGCGTAGAGAGCGGGCGGAAGGCGTGACCCCAAGCCAGAGAGCGGTAGGTGTGGTGTCGGGCCGGTGGGGATGCGGATAAAGATTGTAGAGGAGTGCCGCATGGAAGAGGGCATATCCCCAGAGTGACCGTGGTGCGTTGGCGTGACTGAGGAGGCAGCGAGCGATCTGAACCAAGGTGTGGTTGCGGCTCTCTGCAATGCCATTCTGCTGCGGGCTTTCGGGGAGCGTGAAGGTTTGCCAAATCCCTTGGGCCGCACAGAAGTTATCGAGTTTGCCATTGCGAAATTCTCCCCCGCCATCAGAATGGAGGCACTTCAGAGGAGTGCCGAACGTGACTTGAGCCTGGTGCACCCACGCCATGATGACATCACGTGCCTCCGCCTTGGTATGCAGGAGGTGCACAGAAACATACCGCGAGTGGTCATCGACTAGTGTAAGAAAGTACCGATGACCGCCTCGGGATGCGACTGGAGCTGGGCCCCAGACATCCATGTGCACTAGGTCCAGCGGAGCAGCTGCGACGGATGGGGAGGAAGGGTGCGGCTGCTGCCTGAGCTTGCTCTTGGTGCAATCCAGGCAGGTGGGTGCAGGTGAGTCTGTTGGTGGAGGAAGCGCCGACGGGAGGCCAAGAAGAAGTTTCTTGGAAGCGATGTCGGCAAGTGTACAGAAGTAGGGGTGACCCAAGCGATGGTGGTAGAGGATGGTTGGGTTGGCGAAGCTGTGACACGAACACGGAGTGGTGCTGGCAGCTTGCGCTTGGGAGAGGGCGGCGAGAGGTGCAGGTGAACGCAGCGTGTAGAGCTTGCTGCTGTTGAGTGTGAAGCGTGCTAGGAGCTTGTTGGACTTAGGGTCGAGGAGGTCACAGTGATCTGAGTGTGCTGGGAAGATTGTGGTGACGCCTGCCCGTTGGAGCTCGTGTTGGGCCACGAGATTGTGGCGTAGTGTGGGAACACACATGCCAGTCACACTGCCCGAAGGAAAAGCTGGGCACGGAACTGTGGAGGAGCCCTTGGCGTGTGTTGTGAAACTGGAGTCTGCTCCTAGTAGACGGATTGGTGTCTCGTATGGCTTGAAGGAGTGTTCTTCCTTGAGAACCGTGTGAGTGGCCCCACTGTCGAGGGTGAACTCTATTGTGGCTGAGGTGCTTTGTGAGCCGGGATACTGCGAAATTGTCTCATTAATCATGGCAGTGCCAGGGAACAATATGTGGAGGCGCACATCAGTAAGTGCAGCCACAGCAGCCTGCACGGATTCCTGCGCTTCGACTTGATTGACCTTGCGAGGAGCACAATTGACCATCCAGCTTGGCGGCTTCGAGGCGGTCCCATTGACGGCATACCACTCGTCATCCTTTTTCTTGAAGAAGGAGGCAAGGGCATGGTTGGTGCCGCGACACACCTGGCCGGCACGAGGGCCGCGCTTGATGACATAGGGACACGGGGGGAAGCGGTTGCGCTGGAATGGTGCCGAAGCGGCATAGGCTTGAGGCACGGGAGCGCGGATTGCATTGGCCTTGGCTTGAGCGCTGTTGTCCTTTTCGGCAGAAAGGAGCGCGGATGAGACCTTGGCAAATGTGAGGTCTGCAGGAGCAAGGCCCAAGAGCATCTTGCGTATGACTTCGTATGCCGGAATGAGGCTGACTAGGAGAGCGGCTGCAGGGGCTTGCTCGGGGAAGACTATCCCCAACTGTTTGAGTTCACCATGAATGGACTGCACCTTGGTGACATAGTCCGCCATGCCTGGCGAGTCCTCGAGCCGCACTTGGAACATGCTGGGGATGAGTATAGCAACTCCCACTGCAGTCTTGTTCAGGAAGCGATTCTCGAGGTAGAGCCAAATGGTGTTGGCAGACGGGTAGTTGTGGTAGGTTTCGACGAGTTCGGGAGGAGTGGTGCCCATGAAGACACTAATGACCGCACCATCGGCCTTCTCCCAATTCTTGTACTTGAGCAGTGCAGCAGCATAAACTGCTTCGGCGGCGGCATTAGCTGGATCGGCGGACCTCTCGGGTTTAGGAGGCTCTTTGCCGTCACCGATGTTGAGAAGGACGTCGGTGAGCTCGAGCCCCTTCACCTCGCGACTGAGGAGGTGCTTGTCGACACCATAGCGCCAAGCCTTGTAGTTGGAGCATGTGCCGTCCGGCTCGAGACGAAGGAGCGGGATCGGGTTGGCGAGTGAAGTGGTTGAGTAAGCCATTGTCGGTGTGCAGCGCGGCACTTTTGGAAATTGGTCGACGAGAATTGCTGAAAATCACTCTGACGGGTTTATGAAAATGCCGCTAAGTAGGAAATGGCGTCGGCGAAAATTTGTTAAAACGCCGACTTGAAACTGAATCTGAGCCTATGTCTAACCCCGGACCCACACACCCCCCCACACACCCCTGGGCCCTGTCCCGCAGCTACACAGCTCCGCAACCAGCTCCGCAACCAGCTCCGCAACCAGCTCCGCAACCAGCTCCGCTCCGCTTCAACCTGTGTACCTGCTCTTGCTTGACACGAGACGTTCGTGGAGGCGATTTCGCGAGGGGAGTTCGCCTATTCTGGCGGGGTCTAAGGGGAAACTCGAGAACGAGTTTTAAGAGATGATCGAAATTGAGATTCGACCAAGGAGAATCGAGGAGGAGTTCGACGACAAGAAGCGTGAACGCTTCAGAGATGAGAAATTCAACGAGGTCGAACGCGAAGGCGGTCGACGATGAGAGGCGCGACTGCAGAGTGGAGCACGCCGAAATTCCGACGACTCGAAACGAATGTCGCGACGATGGAGTGCGC